GCGTCGTTTAATAGCTTGCTTATAGTAAAAGTGTCACAATAGATCCCACAATACTTCCTCAGGAAACGTTGTTGACGTACTCATCGACATACACTACTGGAATATGCATCGTACATGTTTCCCGCGATTTCTGTCCCCCCGCGGTTATTGCACGCGGCTGATGCCATATATTCGTTCGAATTTTCATGATAATTTTTCTCCTTTAGTCGTTTTGAACTTCTTTTTTCTTTCCTATATTACAAGCCATTTCCTAAAGATGAAGATGAAGTTTACTAGAATGAATACATACAGTATTTTTAGCCGAAGTTTACATTACCAATAATATTTACATCTGACACTTTTAAAAGGGATTATACATTGCATGAATTATCCGATATTTAACTTTAGAACTAGAAGTAAAGTATTTGTACTAAAGTAACTGTGTGCGTAAAATCAGGCTATGCGATTGGTAAACGACTTTAATGGCGTATCACTCGAATTCTTCACCAATCAAAACGAATACATTTATATATTTATTAAAAATGTGTTTATTGTAAATAGCAATACATAATTCATTAATATTATAAGATAAAAATGTAATTAAACCTAAGCTTTTTACACATATTTATTTTAATAGTAATATATATTCGATTTATTATATGAAGAGATTAAATATTAATTCCTAAAATTTTTTTTTTAATAAAATATTTACCTCATATGTATGGATTCATACCACTATTATACTTTGATGGGAATTAAATTTAAAGTTATATTTTTAAATTTTTGTAAAAACAAGTCTTTGTTAATTTATTCTAATGTCTGAAACCCTATACTTAAATTAATATTGTAATGTACAGAAATATATAAAATATACTTTGGTATATAATCTGTGAATTCATTGATATTTTAAATACTTGAAGAAATAAATATGCAATAGTGTAATTGTAATTTTAATTTTAACAAAAATTTCGATAGTATTAAATATGATTGTATTATAATAATGATTTTAATATTTAATATAATGGCAATATAAAATATGTAATAAATATTATACTTTTGGACGTTTATTTAAAAATTTCAATGAAAATTTATGTATTTATATTTAGATACTTAGATAGTTAGATAAACAGTTCATTAAAAATTAAAAATTCAGATTACCTATCAATCAGTGTAAACACTAGCTAAAGTAGAAAAATTTAAATACACTGTGATCAATATTGCATTACAATAATACTTCGGTTTTAAGTTTTCTTTATTTTTAAAATTATTTTTTACTCTATGAATAATAATATTTTACAATTTGGAATTGAAAAAGCTGTTTTTAAAATTTTAATTGCTCATCACGTTTATTGAATATATATATATATATATATATATATATATATATATATATATATATATATATCTCAAGGTCTTACAGTTTTCTATGAGTTTAGTACTCAAAACTTTACTATAGTATTAATTTACAATTTCCAAGAAAATGCAAGATCGATTAAATGTTTTTGAATGAAAGAAAGACAACAAGGGAGAAAGCGAGAGGCCGAAAAGTAAAAGATAGGTTAAGCAATTCAGAGCGAGTAATGATGAATGGTTATCTGGATGTGTATACTTGTTTCCATATGTGATACGGATGAAAGGAGGGGCAGATATGCCTGTGCACAATTGACAATGACTGATAAATGTTACCATGTTATCCGACGCATACACAATGTTTATTACGGCAAGGAGGAACGGCGGAACCGGTTTGTTAGCCAGTGATGTTCCGTTGAATAGCGAGAAAGAGACAGAAAGCACCTCTCATCTATTCATCGATCGGCTTTAGTTCTCGTCCCTAGCTGCTTCGGCATAAACCGCGCGTATGCTTACGCAGCTACGTCATTCATGTACACAACCGTCTTGAAAAGTGAGCTTGGGAACAACAGTCTGCAGTTCGCACTTTCGGAGCTGCGACAACTGCCTTGTTATTTACTTCTTTCTGCTACTTGAATCGGTATTTTTCTTCCTCTTTTTCAAGCTCAACGTTGCTGCCGCCATTATTGTCGACACGAGAATTTCATCATTTTCATTTTCACGTATAAAAGTATGGTAGGCAAAGATGACGAAGTCGGAGATATCGACGACGAGAGTTTGGCGCGCGTCAAATTGATATCCAGCAAAACAAGACAGCTGGAGGAAACGGCTGATCAGGTGGATGCCTTCTACATTATGTTTTATTTATTGATTTTGCTTTTTAAAATCCCTAAATACTTTAAAATATTTAAAGTCCATGCATTTGTATATCAAACGCACACATGCGCGCTCAAAGATGCATCCACATAACTTTTACCGTGTAGGAACTTTTTTTTATATACATTTTTTATTATAATTATTATTTTAATTTATTTATTTTTATTATTATTACTATTATTATTAATATAATCGCTTTCATTGCAATTATATTTTTCTACATTTTATACTAATTTTTTAAAGACAACATATGAATAATGTATAGACATTAAAGTAAGGAAGAATTTTATATTAATTCAAATGACAAGTTATTTTGCCCCAAAACAAATGAATTTATAAATATTTAAATGATCTATTATTGATTACAAGAATCGAGTTTTAATTGGAAGAATAACATTTTAATAACACAATTTCATTTAATAGCGTTCAATTACTTTAAATCAAGTATTAATATCTATAAAATTATTGTTATTAATATTACAAAATTAAATATAAAATTAAATTTTTCAAGTAAAAATAAAAAAAAAAAATATATACAAGAATAATATATCTTCACTCTTATATAAAATTTAATTTATTATTTTAAATTAATACATTCGATGTTCATGTATTTTATATTTTTTACAGAAAAAGAGCTACTTTAACTTTTTAATATATTTTAATATATATATATATATATATATATATATATATATATATTATATAATAAGTATATATAACTTATATATACTTATTTTAAAGATTATAAAGTATTTAGAAATTGTGCATAAATAATTTATACTTCAAAAAGTTTTATTGTAATTTTTTTTCAATATATTTATGTGCATGTAATTATTAATTTATTTTGTAATTATGAAAATATTTCTTTAAATATGTTATATTATATTTTATTATAATATAATGAAAAATATTTTTAATCATTTTTTGTTTTACAATATTTATAAGTAAATTATTTTTTCCTGTTTATCACCATATTAACATCACATTTCTTTTTAACATAATTAACAATGGTTCTGAATAATAAATAAAATGATAAATAATAATTTAAATTATTTTTTTACTATTAAATTTTGTATACAAACAGAATTTAGTAATTTCAATTTGTTTAATTTTAAAGAAAATGTATCATTAAGAATTACATAAACAAAAATTAGAAATAAAACAAAAATTTAACGCTATCAATGTACAGTGGTTAATATTGTATAATAATTTCAAGAATATCAATCTTGATAAATAGTTTTATATTGCTTTTTTATTGCGGAGATGCCAAAATTAGAATTTTTTGGGAAATTTGATTATCAACTAAAAATTTTTTTAAATATTTTAACTTATGTTATACCTTATTCGATACATTTATATTTGATAAAAAATTATATATTATGAATTATGATGAAGTTAAAATTTAATTATTTTTAAGAAAAATTTTAATATTATAAACGTTGTTTGAAGTAACTTTATTATTTTGTTTAATTATGTTTTTCAAAATAGTTTTGTATTGGTTGTAAGGGTGAAGTTAAGGCAAGAATAATTGATTTCTAAAATTTATAAAGAGTGACTGATGGTACAGGTTCGCCAGGACATAAAAAACTGCTTTGAGCGACTCGCTGGGGTCCTAAGAGGCCGAGAGAAGCAGCTCCTTCGGCAAGTCGAAGCCATTCATAGACAGCAGCTATCGCTTGTACAAACAAATTCAGAGCTTTTACCAGCCACCTCCAACCTTGACGCAGATTTGAGCACCGAGCAACAATTGGTTAACCAATTACTCCATTTCGGTAGGATCGATCTCTCTAATAGCATCGCCGTAAACGACTCCGAACCGTACAAGGTCGAGGAGTACCAAGAGGCTGCCGATGATTATGTTAGTTTTCAGAAATCATTGAAAAGTGAGACCGAAGAAATTGACGTGTCCAGCATCTTACGAAGGAAGCGCGACACTAACGGCAACCTCAACAAAATCGTTAGCATCAACTTTAACTGCGTGTCTTGCAAAACTTGTAAAGCCGAGACTGCAGCGATTAGTAAGCGATTGTTGCCTTATTTTAGTACTTCTGTAGTTTTTAGCGCGATTGTCATCAATACGTTAATTAGATGTATTATTAACTGTTACATTATTAAGTATTTATTAAATACGTGAACCTATAACTAACAATTTGACTTTTTTTTCATTATTAAATCAAAGTTCGTGCGTTTCTTTTAAATTTTCCATACAATATTTGTTTTAATACACCAGTTAAAAGATAAATAATTTTATTATTATTGTTATTATTTTATAGTAATAATAACGGCTATTAATTTAAATGCGTTAAAAATAATTTATTAAAAATTAATTTTTCATAAATATAATCAACTCAAACAACAAATAATATATATTGATGAATGAAAATAAATTGTATTTTTCAAATTACAAATAGTTCTATAGTAAATTTGAATTTAATTATAATTCATATAAGAATTATGCATGTATTGGAAAAAACATAAAAAATTGCTTAACTTTGAATAGTTTTCACAATTAAGTGATTGAAATACCGAGTAATCAAACTAGAATACAAAATAAATCAATAAAAGAAATTTTTAAATTTAATTTAAACAACCAAGTATATTATGTTGATTTTAATTTTTCAAAATATTTTTTTATGGGATAGCATCATCTAAAATGACAACAAGAAACCTTGACAATAAAACTGTGGATCCTGAAACCAGTATCAATTATGAAAAAATTTCTTGTAATGAAAGCAAGGATAATAGCTTTACTTCTGATGCAACTTCATTACCTAGTGAAAAAGTTTTACAGAGTGACAATTTGTATCTTGAAGATAAAAGTATTAATACATTTAGCTGTTCGGCTGTCACATGCATTCAATGCAATGAGCATTCCAAGACAGCTGATAATTATCCGATTGTCATAGCACAAGAAAAAACAAAGCATGAAGGTGTTGAGCATCCCATACAGATTCAACAGTGGCTTCAGCAAATTTTAGCAGAAACCGAAACTGAGCCAATCATTCATGAGATTGGTCAATTTTCGAAAATACCAAATACTCGATTGTACCAAGAATTTCCAGTAGAAACTTAAGTCTGAAATAGTAATTATTGAATTAAAATTAAATAAGAAAACAAAATAATTGAGAAAATGTTCCAATTTGTTATTTACAATCTAGTTAAAATTAATAAAATAAATACAGAATCTTTTGATTTACAATTTAATATAAAAAGAAAATCAAGTCTTCATGGGACCAATATTCCATTGATAATTATATGGAATGTAAATCAAGAAGTCTGATTTTCCATTTATTCTATCCACGATTCTCTATACTATTTCTATTATTGTTATTTATTTATTTGTAACATTTAGTAATTTCATCATAATCATGATTGTAATCATCATTGTACTTATTGTGTTGCATCGTTGTTAGCATACACTTATACATATTTAATTAACTCAAATTTGTGCTGTACCTTTACTATGCTATATTAATTTTTAGATTTATTATAATGTAAACTTTTATTATAAATCTAAATAAAAACTAAACGTATCGATTCAAATATATCTTATAATTCTCTTTTTCAATAATACACGAATACTTAAGCTTTACATCAGTTCACTCTTATTTTACAGGTATACTTCATTATTTCATAATATTTAATCTAGAAGAATAAATATGCATTGAAATGTAAATATTATACTTTATAAAAAAAACGTTGAATTGATTTAATAGATCATATATTAGATTCTTGGTTGAAAATGTAATTCAGCATTGAATTATTTATAAATACATTACCGACAAAAAATTTTAATTAATGTTTTAATTTATTTTATTTTCCTATGAAAATATTAGAAAAATCAGAGCAACAAGAATTGGTAACTGTTTCTGAATGAAATATTTATCTAACTTGTAGAAAGTATATAAGCACTGAGGTCTCAAGAATATAGAGTAATTTAACATTTGTAGTACATTATATTTTTATATAGAATTAACTAAAATATTTTTTACAACTAACTACAAGAAGCAATGCTATCGATGGTACATTATATTATCATTCGACAGATTAAATTGTCATTATACTATTGAAGTGTCTACACATTTTTTTTGCAAATTACTAATATTTGCCATTCTTTAAGCAATAACTATATGTCTTGTACTATTTCAATTCCACGTTATTTCAATATTTATATTATAACAGTCTTTACTAAAAATTTATTTAAAGAGAAATTTAAATAATATAAATTTGTTTTTATTGGTAAAATTAAATTAGTGTCGTATTTTACGACATTGCTTCTACAATAACATTGCTTTTTGGTATTAAAATGAAAAGTTTGGTTCAATGTCTCTTTCTAAGAAAATTTTATTTTGATACTGATTTGTTGTAACTATTTTTAAATTAATTTATAAGTTTATTTTTTCAATAATATTTTGTTTATCAAATAGTAATTTGTATAAATATTTACAATCCGTTAAAAAAAAAATTATGAATTTTAAATTGCAATTATTCAACGTTTATTTATTAAATAAGAGTGCTACCTGAGCTTAAAATCAAAACTGTTATATAAATTTAGTTTCACATTAAAGCTAATGTACAACTTGGGTCATAAGAAAAATGTATTGTGATTTAAGTTGACTATAGTTCTCAACATATTAAGTTTCTTTTTAGTCCATCATTTAAGTGAAACTTGATAAAAGATCCAAACTTCGAAAAAAGATGGAATGAATGCCTCATCTTTTGTAAACTTAACTGGAACACATAGTTGAGACAGCACTTCTTCATACATTTTTAATGATTTTGGACAAGATGCTCCATTTCCCTAAGTTAAAAAATAAAACAATATTTTAAATTTGCAATTAATTTATTTTTAAATTCAATGTAGATATGTAGTTTATTATTTTTAATTATATATTTATATTTTTCATAAATGTATTATATATATTTAATATGTTTAAAACTACATTTTTATGAAAAATAGTTTTTTATACAGTGACTAATAAAATTAACATAATACAAACTAGTATTTACAATCTTACATGAGTCATGTATTTTCCAGTAGGCTTCAATACTTTCATCGAAGAGTTTAAAATAAGTCTAATAAAGTCCCAAGCATCTCCATGTGGTGCTGTACTAATAGGAATGTCTGTAAGATCTCCGAAAACGTAATCAACTTGGTGTCCTTCGTTGATCATATGATTTAAAGCTATAACACAGTCGCCAACAATTATCTGCAAAAAAAGTATATATATGTATGTATGTGTGTGTGTGTGTGTACATATATAAATTGTTTGGCTAGAAAAAATATTTTAATTAAATAACTATATGCAAAATGTATACTTCATATTTTGAAGTTATGCGTTTATCTAAACAATCTCCACAAACACTTCTCATGTATTGACTGCACGCTTTGATAACAACATCATCAATCTGAATGAGAAAAAGAATCAAAATAAATATTCGTTCATTTATAAGTTTTTATAACAGAAGTTTTTAATTTACTTCTAGCATTGTAACACGCTTAGGATTTTCCTTAAGCAATTCCCAAAGAAGACCTCCATCTCCTCCTCCTAAAATCACAATTTCTTTATCTTCATAGCATTCTTTGCCTCGTTGCATTAGTGTTTCCGAATAAATAAGATCTGCCTCGGACATATCTAAACCATATTAAAAAAATTATTGATATAAATTTATATATAATAGTAAGTAATATTTGATCATACATACTTTGTAGCTCATCAAGTATAAGCATATTACCAAGTGACTTTGAGTGAACAATTTGAACTTTTTGGTAAGGTGATCGAGCTTCAAAGACTAACTTGTCAATATCATATTCAAGTAATCTTTCATCTTTAAAAATAAATTTTATCTTATATTTCATTGTTCTATTTTATGTGTATATATTTTATAGTCATTCATATTATTTGTTAAAAACATAGAAATACTTGTATGTTAAAAACATACAAATACTTGTATTGTTTGCGTTTGTGGGTACAATTACGAGAAAATTTACGAATAATTTTTAATTTATGTTATTTTATCTAATAAATGATAAATATAATAGAATATAAAATCTAAATATTTTTAACAGTTATTTTTCATGCATCCAACATAAGCAATTAGATATCTAATATAAAACATATTTAAAACGTTAAGAGTATATTGTAAAGCCATAAATAAGGTGACACAGATTAATATTCTAATTTATAAAAATAAAGACCACAGCTGTTATGCATATACGTGGCGGCAACATTTATATTATTCATTTTTTCCAAAAATCTAATTGCAATATGTTAAAAGCAATTAATCTAATGTTAGGCAGCAATGCTCGATTCCTTGATCAAAAGAAATAAATTTTTAAGCTTTTTGTAAGAAAGTCCAAAAAAAGTAAAACTAATGAATGTTATGGATAGGTCTTTTATCAAAGAGAAAGAGATGTTTGAATTGCGTATCAGGGGAGAACTGTAAGTCTGCTTAAACATACAAGTATTAAATCTATTATTATAAGTATCTACGTACGAGCATCAACTTAATATAAATTTTATTGAAAATAAAATTATTCATTTTACAAGGCTGTTTTCTTTACCGGAAACATAATATTAAGACAAACTCACCAGCGGTAGGAAAGTATCTTTCAAATGGACCACCGCGTTTTATAGGAGTTAGCGTGTGCGATCGAGTAGCCGATGTCACTGCTTGTAATGCCGTCTCCAAGTCTCTGGCCGACTATCATGTAGTAATTGAGCGAACCAATAAATCATTATAAAGATCGCACTACATTTTAATAGAAGGTAGAAAATACAGAAAAAATTACCCGGAAATTACATTTTTTCAACCACTTCATTTCTTAAAATTCAGTCTTCTTAATACCATTCAATATAAATATAAAGACTTACAAAATTTAAAGACTATATTATACTGTTATTTATTAAAGATATATGTTTTAACATTGATTACTTTCACATTATTTTTTTTTAACCGCACTGAAAACTTAACTAATTCATAATTCTGTACTTGCACAAGGGTATATATAATACTATATATAATGTTATGTATAATTTATATGATCCTATAAAATAAGTGAAATAAATTGTAGGAAAAAAATTATGGATAATTTCAGTACTGAAATTTTTGAATATTGATGTATTAATTATAAATTAAGTTTAAATTTTAATCACTCATAGACTTATTCCATTGGTTTCAATATTTAAAAACATAAAATAAGTTTTTATATTTTGACACGTAAGGAAAATATATATGAGAAGATAATTAATAAAAAATAAAATATGTAAAAGATATTTTTTAACATCTTTAATGAATTACTTATATTCTTATTAATACTAAAAAATAATAATAGAATTCGAATCATTCGATCATTTTTATTTAATGCTTATTTTTAATTTTTTAGTAGCTTATTTAAATATTTACAGATGCAAAATGAAACTTATATTATAGTCTTTATATATGTATTTGTTTATAACGTAAATTTATATTAGAAAGAACAAATATTTTTGTAAAAATATCTTCTTTTAAAAATGAAGCATTTCAAAAATTTAATTTCAGTTGAATCTTTACTATATTTTATCTCCCTTAAAGGTTTATCTTTGACACAAAGTTTTCTTTTAGAACATCTTTTAATATTCGCGATAGTTCTCATTTTTCATAATTTTATAAATAATCGAGAATAAGCATAGAAAACAAAAAAGATGTCTATACATTAAAATCCATTATTATAAAAATAATTACAAAGATTATATAAAGTGCTACGTGCACTATATGCCGTTCTCATATGAATATAAAAGATCAAGTGCTAGGAATATTGGACAAGAAAAATTGAACTGTAAATGGGTGCTACGATATAAACTAACTTTGCATTCTTGAACAAGCGATATACTTCATGTAAACTACAATTAACCCTCAAATGCTATATTTGAATTCTGAAGAATGCATCTGATGATATACAGCATTCATATTTTCAAAAGTTTTGAATATCTTGGGTATGAATTTAAATATCTTTACGTATAATTTGATTCACTTGATAATGTATTAAAATTTTATTCGATAAAGTCTAAATTTTGGCTTAAACATTCTAGCTTGGAGAAAAATATTCAGTGTTTTATAAATACATCTTTATGTGATTATTATACAAATTATTCAAGAAATTAAATTAAAGAAAAACAAATTATTTTATAAAACTTTATGATAAAAACTGTTTTTGTATTCAACAATTTAGTAGCATTTTTGAAAAAACAAGAAATAAATATTAAAAAGAGATTTAATCACAACGAAAATCATGCTTTTGAGGATTAATATATGATTGATGATATGTAATAATTAATTTTCTAGAAATATGATTGTGATATAAATTTCTAATAAATTTAGGTATTTATAATCAATTAGATGCGAATGAAAATTTTTGATCGAGGCAAAACATTTTCTACCTGAGAGGGTCAGATAGAGATCATATATGGTTCCTCGTTTTACTGGTGGTAAATGTTTACTGCGCTGGCTATTCAAAGCCATGGCAATATCAGCTTCCAAGAACCGCCATTGCTATAATATTCTCTTTATTATACTGTATTCTCTTATGTTTTATTTTTATATTAAATATTTAAGTTGTACTGCTTACTGCTCAGGGAGCGATGTTATAAAAAAACTAAAAAATTGCTGCTCGTTCCACTCTCTACATAAAAAAATTATAAGTGAATGACTACAGAAATTCAATAATTTATTAATTAATGTCAATAATAAAATATTTTCTGTAATATTAATAATTGTTATACTATTTCACATTCTAGAACAAATAGTATTTACTTACTTTTAAAAGTAATTGTTAATTTGAAATATTTAACTCTATTTTTCAAGTTAGTTAAATAATATTTAATTTCAAATAAAAATGTAAATATATATATTTATAATATTCATACTAATTTCTATAAAATAAGTATAAATAAAAAATTTAATAAGTAAATCAATTATAAATATCAATAAATAATAATGAATTTCAGTAATAAGTCACTTTTAAATTAGTAAAAACAATTTCCACAACAATTTTTGTTTAAATATTGTTCATACACAAATAAATAAAAAAGATGTTACTACATTTATAATTTTTTATGCAAAATTTTACAAACTAATTCTTAAATATTAATAAAACTTTAATACCTCAAAAGACAACAATGCCTCTTCATCATCTGGCTTATAATATTCAATATTAACTGTGACTAAACCTTCTGTATATCCTCGTACAGTTATAAGACTGCTTTTTGGTCCACTAAACAAAATGACTAAGCTGCCATCAATGCTTGATTCTGTTAAATGCTTCAAACCTACTAAATGTTCCTTTAACACATTTGTGATATTTGATTTTAAATTGGCTTGTTTCTCTATGTCCAAAATTTGGTTGGTTGGAACAGTAAAATCAAGAAGTACCGTATGAGCTACCATGATTCAACTGCAAATAAAATACATGTAAAATATTTCATTGTATTTAGAATTCAGTTTGAAAATTAAAAATTCATATATATTAATGGATAAATTCCTTCAATAATTTTTACAATCAATAAAGGAAGTTCAGATATTGATATAAGGAAAGAATTGATAAACTGATTTTTAACATTTACAATGAACACTAACAACATATATCATATAATTTAGTTTCCAAAACCGGTTTATGTAAGTTAGCACGTGCGTATGTTTGCAATATACGTATGCAATATATCCAAAATATGTAACTTCCATTTTTATGTATATCGAAACTGCGATAATAAAAGAGCATACCGCAAAATAGAAAGAAACATAAAACAATTAATTATTACTTTATAATCACCATGTATTAAATGTTAAATGAAATTAATCGTTATTAATAATTCGAAATAAATATTCGATAGGTCGGATTCTTCTATTGTGTTTTCGATTGTTATTAATATGATTCGATTTCTCAATAAAACTTTATTACTTACCCGGTTTTTAAAGAAAAATCAATTTAAAGATTGAGTATTGAACAATATTAACATTTTATACTTGGCAGCGCCACCGTAAAATTAGTACGAATTAAGCTGTATCTACAATGTCTTTCAAATTTGTGTTCCACTGTTCCATTTATTTTCAGGAAATAACGTACCAAACGTGTTCCACTCATATACCATATTTTGATTTTAATGCTGACCTGCCGTATATGGATAATACAACTGTCAACGAATTATTATAATTACAATGTTTCAATCAAACAATAAATAACTTATGTTGCTGCACTAAAAATTTAATTTTTAATTTAGTATTGCCCACTTGTACTAAATTCTTTAATAAAGCTATCTATTAAACCAAATAATACTTATAAAATTTAGTATTATATATAGATTTTATACATATTCATCCTTCTTCAATTATAAACTAAAGAAGGAAAATTTCTATTAATTTTTTTATAATGCGAGAGTCGTTTTCATATATGGTACAATTAATTCTCATTATGTATATATTATTTTAATAATCTGCTCAATCTGAAATATTAACTTACATTGTGTAATTTATTAGAGATCTTAATAAATATTTGATTATTGTTGAAATTAAAGATTTACTCATAAATATTTCAAATAACCGATATAACATTTTTTAGACAATGTCTGTTGCATATACAGAAAACTAAAATGAAGAAATTAATTTAAAATGTTATATTTTAAAATAACTTTTTAAAAATTAAGTATATAAATATTGAAAATTATAATAATACTATAATATTATCATAATTATAAAAAAGGTTATAAATCTAAATGGTGTTTTTTAATATTTACATAATTAATTTTTTAAAAGTTCTTTTTAATAACAGATAAACAACATTCAACTTCAATCGAAGAAAATTTTTATGAAGTTCTCGTTAGATGTTTTAAATTTTCATAGATAAATTGATACAAAAATTTCACTTGTTTCAAAAGCATCTTGTTTTGATAATAAAAAGATTAATACAATTTATCAAAGTTTAATTTTTGAAGCTGTTGCATTATAAAAGAGATTCTAGTTTTATCGTATACTTTTAAAAATAAATCATAATATAAAATTATAACTAAATACTTTGGTGATACATAATTACTTAAGTAATTATTATTATTTATTAATTAAAACTAATTTTTGACTATAAGTTATATTATATATATTATATATCATTAGTACATATTATCTATACTTAAATTTTTATGTTTATACATATTTTTTATTCGTGTGATCGGTATCAATTTGCAAATACTTTATATCTCGAGAACTCATTCTATGATAAATGTATGTCATCATTATATATTATAATGATTTATTATGGCATAAATGTGGAAAGTTATTGATAATAAGAAGTAAATTTTGAATTTATTAGAAAGTATAATTTTGTAGATTAGTATAATTAAAAATTAGTTTACTGCACTCTTAATATAACTTTTTATTATAATCAATCGTTTATTATATGCATATATCATAATACTACTATTACAAATTATAAAATACAGTCATTTGATTTTCCAATATAATTATTTATTCAATTTTACGATAAAATGATAATGATATTTATATTGAAGCTTTAAGATTCTTAATTATTAGATTTATAAGGTAGATAAGAACTAATAATATTTACAATATAGTAGATAAAATTAAATAGTTTTAACGATTTTTTGGAATATTTATAGTAATCATAAGCATAAATTTTTTACAAATAAATTAAAAAATCCTTTTTATAATTTTTTAATTAATGATCATAAAAAGATAACATACAAAATCTTTTTGAATTTATTATAGTATTTTGAAATTAAAATTAATTAAAGTGTATAAAACATGTAGTAATTCTATTTTTCTAAGGATTTTGTAGTATTTATGATTAGTGAGGATACATAATCTTTTGTATTTAAGTCAATATTCTGTAATTATATTGACAAATTAATTAGAGGTGATGTAGAAAAACTTTCTACTCATTGAATAATATCTTTGCATGTCCTATATGATATCTTCCGTATCAGATAAATGGCTTTAAGTTATGATTTCATGATATTATATATTTCAATGTCTTTTTAATTTAATTCATACTAGATATATAAAAAATTAAATTAAATAAGAAACGCATTAAATGAAACATCAAACTTTTTTTACTACACATACTATTATTTATTTTCCAAGATGTATTATAAATAAAAAATAATAAATTGATAAATTTATTTGACGAAAAATCAAAATACATCTAACAAAAAATGTTTTTTATAAATAACTTTGACAGTATTAGAGTTGCTTTATGGTATTAATAAATAATTATTATTTGTTGGCATACAAATATGATCTATTTTATTAATACAAGTTTAGTCTGTGATATTCTATTTAAATTTATTCCATTATAATTTCATACAGCACTATCATTTTATAAGTTGCATTCGTAAGGATCAACGCTGAATTCGTATAAGCTATCATCGTTTAGTAATATCTATCAAGAATTAAGCAGACCGTGTTACGTTTAGGATTTGGACTTGTGATCGCTCCTACTTTTTGTAACAGGTCTTAACCTTAAATGTGAGCCAACTTGGTTTATGACCCGATATATGGAATTAATGTAATGAGACAAATAAATTTATATATTTTATATAAAAATCTATTTATATATTTTAACAGATCAACGAGAGATGATGAATATATAAAAACTTATTCGGGTAAAATTGTATAATTATAAATATTGAGAAAATTATGATAGAAAATGCAATTTGTAGTATATTACTGAAATAAAAATTGGATAAATATGAATGTAATATATAAAAATATATTGAAATATATGTTATAATCTTTTTATTTACATATTATCTTAAGTTTCTATATTTATAGTATAAATCGTTTTATAAACAATAAATTCTATAACAAGTTTGAAGTTTCCAGTGGATTATTTTCAAATGAGTTCATGATAACAACAAATAAATAATAAAAAGTGATTAATACTTTTATAGTTCGTTAAATCAGACTATAAATATTAAAATTATAATTTAATTAAACAGTATTCCATGTCTGCATAACATTTTTGTCATCGTTTTAAAATGACAGATAAAAAGTAAATATTGCATTATCGATGTACAATGTGATAATAATTAAAAATTGAAATGAAAATCAAATTATTTATTTTAGGCTCAAAATATGCGCTTAAAAATTTCTTGGATAAGATATTCTTATTATGGTTGATTGCTGATTATATGATAAGTCGATCGTACATTTATAAACTGTCATTAGTAACATTTTGGTAGAATATTTCAAGTGACATGTCCGCTTTGATTTATTTAGATATAAAGTCAATCGTTTCAAGCATCTTTGGCCTTAACGTAAAATTGCTTAGTTATCGTTTTGAAATATTTTTAAAAACTACCACGGAACATTTGGTATTCATCATTCTTTATTAGTCCACATTATACGTGAATCGAGTAAGAGTAATAAAGTGAAAACTCACACTTGAAGGCAAATGCAAGAAATGGTCACCTTAGTTGTTATCTGGCCGGGACTGACGTCTTAGTCTTCGAAGATTTGCGCAGTCAAGGCTTCGATTTATGTCAGGAATTTAGCTTTAATGAGCAACTTATCAGATCAGCATTGTCGACCTTGGCGCCATTCCATACATCGGCTATCATCGCAGACAAACGACTTGGACAGTCGTTAGAAAAAGCTTTTAGCAATGCTTCAAAGAAAAGATCTTCTCGGATTCTACAAAAATTAGTCAAGTAACTCGACTTAGTATTGATACATTAGTGCTGATTGCCAAAAGATTCAATGTGGATATAGCCCTAGTGACAAAAATAGCTAATTGTGCACACGAGATGGCAAAGACTAATACAACCGGATTTAATGTCATTTTCCATGGTGACTTATGGAAAAACAATCTAATATTCGACGACGCTCAATCGCCTAATTGTATATTAATCGATTATCAATTGTTACGATACCACTCACCAATCACGGATATTTGCATGCTTCTTTATTTGAACGCGATACCGCAATTCCCACGACAGTCAGAAATGTATTTGCTCAAGCACTATTATTCTGTATTACGAAGCGTTATTGATGAAAACGATTGCAAGTTAAATATTCCAACTTACGATAGTATCATGAAAGATTACCAGAAATATAGATTAGTTGGCATTCTGTATGCGTGTATATATAAACCTGGTATGTATATGAAATCGAATTTCTCAAAAATATTGAAGATTCGTGCTTATTTAAAAAGTGGTTAATTGATAATAGGATAGATCAAATAGAGTTAACCATGGAAAATAATCCTATTTACGAAAACAAAATAAAAAAATTAATTAATGAATTTATAGAGGAAGGAAAACGCCTTATCTATACATAGTTGTACAAGAATTATACATTTCAATATCATATATCACTAGTAACGTTATAACTAATCGATGTATGTGTAATTTTTGTTATATTTTTATGAAAATTGTATTATTGAATGAATTACAGAAACAAATTTTGATAAATAAGAAGAATGACTACCAAAAATTATTACTATAAGTACACCGATATCATGTAATATATCCAAGAATTTTTCAAAAATATTCGTTTAGTATTAATGTTCTTTCAAGATTTTTAGTATTAATGTAAAGTGTTCTGAACTTATAATTTTTTTATTAAGAAAACTATCAATTGTATTTACTATTGATACGAAATTATAGATATACACTTGCATACATATGTGTATGCATGCGCGCCTGCACGCACGCACGCATACACACATATAGATTTGCGATACGGTTTTAAAAACATTTTTCCATTATATTATAGTAAAAAATGCATTTAATCGTATAATAATTTGATTCTATTTGAATTTAACACTTAATCGAGATAGTTTATGAAATTAGGAGGATAAAATAAAAAAAAAGAACATATTGAATTAGTGAAAAATATATTATACAAGAGTGAAAAAATTATAAAACTCTCGTTTCAAGTTTTTGCAGTCTATTGTGTCAATTTTGTTTTTATGATATTTATGGATTTCATTTAATACTATTTGAATCTTCTACGTTTGCTTTTACTGCTTTATACTTGCATAGAATTATGACATTATAAATTACTAAGTTTTAAAAAATTCATAGACGGTATTAATTATATTTATAATATATTATTTTTCCCTGTTGTTTGTTTCATACCCGTTACCATGAAACAGAAATGTACTTAAACGTACGTTGCCTTCTTCTAAATTATAATTCCCATATTAAAATTTAATAGTTGTTTTAGACTCCTTGACATTGGTTATGCATTATTTAAGAAATAAACAATTACTTAAAAAATATACAAAAATATAGAAATAACCAAGAAAGTTTAATTATTTTTCATTTTTCATGATAATCTTACATTTACATATATGAGAAAGATCTTATTCTCTCTTGCGATTGGAGATATATTTCTGGATTAGCGTTATATTTCCATTATAATGGACTCAAGGTTTTACGCAGATATTTATCGTTTCTTTATAATATATGTAGTTTTTAAAATATACTCATAAATTTTTAAAGCCAAATATCAATTGAATTTGTTGAAAAGTCGATAATTGAACATTCAAATTTTTCTAAGTATGAATGTGTTTCTACATATATTTTTATTAGATTGGTAGGGATTTCTCAATAATAATACTCTAATGAAAAATACTCTAGATGCATTTGAATTTTCTTAATTAGATACTGTAATTTTATCTATAAATTTTAATAAAAGTTTATTCTAAAAAACAACATGTTTCTTTATATAATATGTACAATGAAATAAATTTAATAAGATTTTATTATTTGATTTTTACTTCGAAAATTTATCACTTTTGGTTTAACACTCATTCCACAAGATAAACTTATATTTTCAGCAGCAATACTATATTTTTATAACAGTTTTTACAGATTTTTCAAAATAATATATATATATATATATATATATATATATATATATATATATATATATATATATATATGTATGTATATGTATATGTGTATGTATATAAATATTAAAATTAAGTTACTTTTTGGACGCTAATGACCAAAATATCATGGTGTTGTTATTATATATTTATTATAATAAGACGTTTAAAATATTAGAAAATATATTAATGCTTGCATATAGAAACTATTAATAGAAATGAATAACAGAATTATATCAAAGAATACCTTATCAAATTTACACAGATTAATATTAATATTAATTGTCTTATATTGTTGTAAAGATTGATATTATTTTTCATAATGTTTTTTAATTTTTGCTTCTTAGAAACGAACATTGTAAATGTGATTTCTATATATTTGATGGATCAATCTTCATGCAATCAATTATTTTCTACTTCTTTCTGCATTTTCCTCTGCAGAAATTTACTTAATACATTATTAAGTAATTACATTTGTTTTGATACATATTATATCAAATTATTCTTTCATGATTGCATATTTTGTTTATTTAGTTTAAAATAAGTTGTTAAACATTACATATAAATCCAATTGGATAAAATAATTAGTGAAGAAAAGGAGAGAGAGAGAGAGATAGCGTGTGTTTTGAACAACTCAAAGTAGCTGTTACAAATTTAATAAACAATAAATGATTATTAAAACATTCAATAATTTATGTAATTCATATTTCATGGCATTACTGTTTTAAACTGATATTTAAAATTATTTAATTATTGTAATGTACAGCAGTTAAATATTTAGTTAATTAGACTACAAAATTATAATACGAAACTCATATATTACATTAAAAAACATCTTGTTAATGCGAGGTAAAGATAATTCACTACAATTTCAAAAAATATATTGTTTAAAATTTATTATTTAATTCCATCGATTTAGTCAGAAAGTTCATGAGTAAATCAATAATAAAATTTCGTAATTTCATGCTGTTAATGTAGTATTGAAAATATTATTTATCTTTAAATAAATATATGTATACAGTTTTGATTCTGAACTATCGTTTATAGAAAATGTAAGCTACATACTGTGGTATTAGTACCTATTATTGTTATTGAATTTTAACTTGAATGCTCCATAGTATATGGTCGTCATAGTCATCGTCTAGTAATTGGGAAGTATTACTTTAGTATCATTTGTTAAGTAATTGCAGTACAGAAAATACATGAATATCAAAATCAATATGTAATTTAATTACGAAATTAAAAACACTTACGAATTTATTTTTAATTTTCGACGTTTCAGTGATTATTTAATAATTAAAATAAAATAAAAATTAAATAAACATGAAATAAAAATAAAACGATAAAGCTGAACAAGTTCGTGTATTATTAGCAACCTGTTGCAAGATGATATGGATGTGGTAGCAAGAATATTAGACGCATAAGGATAGAAGATGCAAAACTGAAAAAACTAAATGAGTCCAGATTTTATTGCACCTCTAATATTGTCGCGAAGGAATGCGAGCTACCGGTATCGATCTCCTTGAAGTGTGAGATTACCTCGGGAGTTACCCATCCCCGCATCTTAGTTTCAACCCTCGCGAGCACTTGGCGTCCGGGTATCGCGTCGTTCCAAATAGATTGATCAGTAAATAGATAGGAGGCTCGCACGAGGTCGCGCGTGCCCCTCGGCCGGTATTTGCAGCGGCGGGCGCCTGATTGGCAAGCACAGACCACGGTGACACATTTTCTCGCGGCGGCTGTAAGTCCCGGGGTGGGGCGCTACGAGCCCAAGTGATCGCAGCCCCCGGTTCCGAAAGCTAGTAGTGCGCACTCGGCGCAATCAGAGTGTTCAAGCCGCGTAGCCCCAAAGACAAGCGCAAAGCAGCGTAAGCTCGACACGTCGCGGAGCTTCGCCACCTTTCCTATTCATCCACTTACTCTCCCTTTAACTTTAGCCAACCCTGTATTCTGATTGCTTTACGCTCATTAGCTTCGCTTTTCCTAGCTGTGCACGTGTGCTGATAGGAAGAGGGATCAATCGGAGCAGAGTACTTGGCTATCAGACGCCTGTGGCCCTCCGGAGGTAAGAGATAGACAAAGAGAGTGAGGGGGCAGCAGGCGTCCGATACAGTCAACCCTAGCATTTAGCCAGTACCCAAGACACTCTCCCGATTTCTATGCTCTTTCTATTATTACACTGTTTGATCTGGTTTCTCGGTGCGTTTGTAGTGGCCTTTCATTAGCCATCGCAGCTTGTCCCAACGAGTATGGCTATGTACACAGTTGAACCAATATCATTGGTATTATTAATATTACCACCGCTATTAGATTCCAACGAGAATTCATCACTACAGGTCTCATCCACGTCGATACAGGTGGATCTTCCACTATCTCTTTATCTTTTCCCTTTCCTTCTCCACCCCCTTCTCACCAAACTTTTGATTTGTTATTATATGAATTAGATTTATGTAATGCTTTTCAGAGTTACAACACCTACATAGTAATGACGCAGATTTGCATTTATCTACATAGTCTTGTTTGTACATGTTTTACACAAACTATATTTCATACATTTCTATGTTTCAGAACATAAATCATTTTTATTATTGGTTTTAACATTTTTCATGCATTACATATCTCATATCCATTACCGTGCAGTTTTTAATTTAATTTGTTATTTTATATAAGAAATATATACTTTCATATTTTATGAGTCGATGTTGATAATTGTGTAATTTATCAATTAATTCAAAAGTTTGTAATCTTTTACGTATATAGTAAAAATACAAATAGAGCTTACCATCTAGAGATAAATAATTTTAAAAATTTATTATAATTATTAAAGTGATTATTGATTTTTAGTTAATGGTGTTGAGTTATAAACAAATTTAAATACCCAATGAAACAGCTTAGTTGATATTTTTTAATTATTTATCTTGAAATGTTAACTTATTTTTTGAATAAAATTAATAATTTTTCAATAAAATTACAATCAAAAGCTATGTATTAATATTATCTATAGAATTTACATATATTCATGGATGCTCACAAATGCTTAAATACACATGCGCGCAGAAACGCGGTATATCTCGTGAATGACAAAATCATTTCACACGGATGGGTATGCGTGTTAAAGCGCGTACACGCAGTAATAGATTCATGTATGCATAACAAGAAAATATTTAGAATACTTTTATTGACAGCAATAAACATTAAATCTATTGCCTAAGCATTACAATTTTCTTATATTTAAATTATTCATACTAAATCGAATAAGATTACGCTGATAAGTGCGTATTTGCTCAATTAATTATATTATTTTATATGAAAAATGCATGAAAAATGTTATGAATTTGATTTTTACTTATTATAAATAATTTTTTAATAATTGTAAGTATCATAATAAATATACATTTTTGGATTATGCATAATATTATATAAATACAAGATTAATATGGATACATTTTTATTTATTAAGTACAAAAACTAATTTTTATTTCAATAAAAAAAATTATTAAAATTCTTTTATCGGAGAAAATGGACCTTAATTCAAACGTGTCCGGCTATTTGTCAAGTATTTTTAATTAAGATTTTTTAAAGCTGTGGCTACAAGTAATGAAGCGTAATTTTTAGTACTAAGAGTAATAGGCGTAAGAATATTCGACAAATACTCCCCAAGTATTGGTAACAGTTAAATTAATGTAAATTATTAGTGAAGCGTGTAAGTAATAATATCAGTCGCGATTAAATTATATGGTATTATAATCTTATAATAACCATACTTTATCCGAGAGTTTCATAATATAAAGCGTATTTCTCAATACTGGAAACGTGGAAGGAAAAATCTTGTGCCCTTTTATAGATGTAGAGTATCATGGCGACCCTAGACGTTAAGTTTACAAAGTTCGACAATCGTCCATGGGGCTTTCGTCTGGCGGGTGGAAGTGACTTTCCTGATCCTCTAACTGTCATTAGGGTAAATATTGATTAATGAATGCAATTACAATATACGTATATGTTTGATTATCTTTACCTGTGTTATTTTTACGATTAGGAATAACGTAGATCAGAGATGAATTATGTAAAAAAATATATATGAACTTGTTGACTTATACATTTTCTTACAAATCTTTAAATAACAAAATTATGATTTTCAATAGTAAACAAAGAAATTGTTCTAATTTTTCAAATGATAATCAATTAATTTTGTAATAATACAAAAACAATACAAAAATAATACATTTTAATAATACGAAAACAAATTATTTTAAAGAAATATCAACTAAATAATTCAAATTTTTTATAATGCATATAGCTATATTTATAATTAATAAATAATAAACATATTTATTTATATTAAATATTTCTTTTTACATACAGTTCATTTAAAATTAAAACTTATTTGAAATTGAGTACAAAACAATGAAATTCCAAATAACATAGAACACCAAAATTTTTAATTATTACATTATTTACTTCAGTTTATATAAACATTTATATTTATATAATTAAATTTGATTTATAAAAATTAAAATCGTAAAAATTTTGTTCATTTTTAATATATATGCCTATATTTTTAAAACACTAATAAATTAAAATTTTCTGCTCTCATTTCTTTCTGTCATTTCATTATTTTCCTATCAAAATGAATATACGTTAAAAATATTTTTTTTTAATATTGTCGTTAATATATAATGCTTTTATGATTATAAAATTGTAAAAGCAATAATTTCAAGAAATTTATTTGCGAAAATTCTTTGAAAACAACATAAAAATACATCCATGATAAAATACACTTTTCAGGTAACAGAGGAAAGTCTTGCCGAATGTATGGGCTTAAAAGTTGGTGATGTCGTTGTAAAACTAAATGATCAATGGATAAATGACTTGTCACACGGTCAGGCTCACGAAGCTCTTATTCTTGCAGGAAACAATTTCGTTTTAGGAGTTCGTAGGTAAGAATATATTCCATCAAAGTGCCATTAAATTTAAGAACTTCTTCTGAACATAAGAATTAACAGAATAATTATGTTTAATATTATAATAGACAGAATTTAATTAAATTTAATAGATTATAATAGATGTTTAATGTTTAATATTATAATAGACAGAATTTAATTAAATTTAATAGAAACGGAATTGCTAATAAAATCAAAGCTTATTCAATTAAAATTAATTATAAATTGAACTTAAAAAATAGCTGATTGAACAAGAACTTTAATTAGCAACTTGTAAATAATATAATTCTGATAAAAAACACAAATTTTGTTTAGATGTTATGTTAATATTTATTGTAATATCTCAAATTAGTAAAAAAATTTTATTTAAGTGTTGTGTAATAAAAATAATTAAAATTTTTTAATAAAGTACGCGGAAGATATATTGTATATCTTTTATGTTTATTATATAGCTAAAAGTAAAAAAAAACATTGTTTCAGATAGACATATTTAATTTATAAGTACTTTGATTGTTATAACAATTGTTAGTTTTCTCTTTAGTTTATTTTGTTATTTATTTTTAGTTTTCTGTATTAAATGCAAATTAAAAAAAATCTAGATTCTACCCATATATATCATTTATTTTATTAAAAATATATTTAAATGTATTAAATACAAATTATGTATTTATATAAATTTTTAATGTTATTAAAATTATTTAAATACAAGTATAATTTATACATATTTTTAATAATAGTATATTAAATGAAGTGTTTCATTTTTCGCCAAAACTATATTTGATTTACGTATTTTATATATAAATCTCTTATCATCTTAATATTTGTAAAAATGTATAAGTAAAACTAAAATTTTTATTACTTAGAGTTTCAAGAACTGTATATCACGTTATATTTTATAATTAAGAATAATTCTATATTATTTCTTAACTAATAAATAAAATATAACTTTTAATATGAATAAATATCACTTTTAATGATTATAAAATTCAGGATTTATCATAAAAATATTCTTATGATTTATTTATTTTAATAAGAAAGATTATAAACACTTATTGAAATTACTCTTGAATTAAAACTTCTAATAAACTATAGTTATATTTTTGTGTTCAGAATTATATTGAACAAATTGATTCAAACCGTTTATCTGTCAAAGACTATAAAATGAAAAAACAATAATTTTGATATATTAAAACAGTAAAATAGTTGGAAATTTATCGTTCGTTGTCAAAGTACTAAATTTATAAAAACATTAGTGTTTTATTCAATATTATTTTATAATATTCTGTTTATATAATAGGATGAAATAATAACATTTATAAATTATTTTTAATTTTAATCGATACGTAATTTATTCTAATTTTATTTTATATTAAATATTGATATTATTTAACTTTTAGAATTTTTAAAAATAATTTATTCTTAAGTTAAGCATTCAATACATATACTTTTATTTGACGCCTCTAAATATATACTTTTATTTAAACAGTTTAATAAATCCTAAAATAGAAAGAATTCTGTTTTCATTTTTTTTCATAAAACTAAAATATTAATTCTGAAATTGTTGATTAATTTTAATAAAACCTATTATAGTCCGAGTATGCAGATGACTTGTATTGTAGAAAGAACAATTTCGGTACAATAATTTTCGTCAGTAATGGTCGTTTGTGCTAAACACATTGTTAATTTCGCGCACTATATCAGTATTATATGATAGATCAGTTTTTTATCCAAACCTAAATGTGAATATATGAAAGTAACGAAAATCCACGTTATTAGATAAGGATTATCTCTAGTTTCATACCTTATATTTTGACGCAACTTTGCTGTTGCTCAAGTCTTTTGAAAGTTGGATTATGGAGGGAAGTCCTCGGAGTCAAGTACTTTTTCGACAGACCTGCACAATCCTTTGTACAGGAACACGAGATATGCATTGAGAGGTACAGGGCAAAGCTCGGGCACTCGCCTTGAGCAGCAACATGTGACAATGTCGTGATAGAAATATAAATAGCTAACCCAGAATGAAAATGCGTCGGTGTCCTGCCTGAATATTTTTTCTGTTTGACTCGTCGGCTTATTATATGGAATCTTTAAAATAAAACTCATACAGCTTGTAGCCAATGTTATTTATCGCTTGGGAGCTAAAATGTTATTCTAGTCGTCGTAAATTTTCATTTCTTTCTGTTTCTCTTCATTATTTTTTAGCAACTGCGTGAGCTATTTGCAATACATACATATCGAAGATTCAACTCGATATATCACATAGAATTTAAATGCAATTCCTGTACGATTTGACGTAACGGTTATTCTTTCGGCTAAATGCACAAGTAAACATAGTTAGACGCACGAAATAGACTGGATGCCAATTTAAAACCTTTAAAATCGATTCTATTCAGAAGCTATTTAAAAAGGTGTTTGGTTACCTTTACAATAAATTTTTATTTTATTGAACACTTGGTATACGGAATATTTTGTATTTCAAATGTTAAACAAAAATTTTTCTACTAACTATGTTCTTTGCATTTATTTTTAATTTACGTATAGTACTATATATTGTACTTTTATTATAACTTTTCTGAGATTTCATCGAAGAAGTTCAAGAAGAATAAAACATAATGATAAATGTGCTTATTTACAATTAATATTGCAAATTACAAAGCTGAGCGAGTGGCTGCTTCGTCATTCCTATTAAGGAATACTGACAATTAGTTGAAATATCTTGGATACCTTAAAATTTTACACTTATGCCTTTGAATTTTATATTTTTATATTTTAAATATAAAATATGATATAATATATAATATATAATATAAGTAATTTATAAAAATACTGAAGATTTGAGATGATTGAGTATTGCGTAGTAATTAATGAAGAATGGATATATTTATAGTATATGAATTGTGAAGCACAAAATCTGAGCGATCACAGAAAAATATTTAGAAGTGAAGAATATATTTATAACACTGGATATAGATAAACTGATAGAAACGGCCTATAAAATAAAAGCGAAAATTTTTAAGAAATTATATTGATATTAGGGTCGGATTGAATTTGGCGAGATCTGTCCTATCTTGTCCTAGGTTTTGCCCCAATTAGTCGGGACTGTCTTGACCCCCTCCGTTATTAGATATTTCTTCAGCCCTTCAACGTCGATTAGCATTTGTGGCGTTCGAGTTTATATATATATGTACACGATCATGATCGTGTTCGTTCCGAGGCAACGATTTATTTTCGTGCAACGGAGAATGTGAATGACGCGCCGAGTGATGGCCTAAATTTATAATTCGCATGTTATGTATGTGCACCGCTAAAACGTCTACAGAACGTTGAATTTTTATCCTAAATTATATCTGTCAGTCTCTCCTTCTCTCTCTCTCTCTCTCTCTTTCTTTCTCTTTCTCTATCTATCTATCTATCTACCTATCTATCTTTCTATCTATTTATTTATCTTTTTATAACATCTGGATCATAACTGTTACAGAAAATATGGTTATAAAAATATACTTAAGATTTAATCCCTAATTAGAGAAGTTATTGTTAATTTTTAAAGTGCAGAAGAATTTCATCGTTAGGAAAAAATATATCATCAACTAATTTATCACTTCAATCAAGATTATATTTTATCAGCATTAAGTTGCATTATAATGCTTATTTTTATATTCAATGTAAATGTTATGTAATCAATTTGACTAATATCTATCTAATATTATTTATCTAATATTTATAGGTTTTGAACGAAATTGATATTAATTGTAAGAATAATAATAAAGAAAGATCTTCATGTCGTTTGCTTTGTTTCTCATATGAATTTGTAACATATTTAAAAATATATATATAATGCAAACTTGAAGATTTTTCTTTTAGTTGTACTTTTGTCTTAGTTTCTCTAATTTTCTTTTTACATAATTTCTTATTTACTTTTAACTGCTTAAATGCGAAATTTAAATTTTCACATGAAAAAAAGCTTTTTCCCCATAATCCATGATACCTATGCTTAATCGAATTCAATTTTGTGTATATGACGACTTGTTTAAGTAACTATAAATTTTTTAAATTTAGAACAGAAGATCCGAACAAATCGTTAAAAGGAATTCAAAAAAAAATCGAACCGTATATGCTCCCCGTAAGTTTTCTTCTTTTATCTATTAAATTACTTTTATTTTTAATGAATGAAGTTTTTGTTATTTAATGCTAAGAATTTGAATAAACAACATTAGATACAATAATATGAGAATATTAAGAATATTAATACTAAGAAACTTACTGGCTATAAATTCATAAATTCTATTTATAATATCGGTACTAATTATAATTTAGAATATATCATCATAAGATTGAGTATTATATTCGACATCTAACAGCATGCCTTTGAATTCATATTTTGATAACAAGTTTTTTAATATAATTTGTTTGTAAAAAATACTTCATTTGATTAATTTTTTTGATAGTAATGTTTTATAATTCAACGTATAAAATTAATTTTTAAATAAAATTCAATTACTGAAACTATTTTCAGCTTGAAGACATTTTATTTTCTCCGATTGAAGAAAAAAGAGAATCAACACCCGACGAGGTACCACAAATTGAAGACGAGTTTGTACCAATACTACTATCATCAGAAGAAAAAATTGAAGTTGAAGAGTATCCAGTGAAACCGCGTGACGAGAATAGCGAATTTGTTGCTAATACAAATTTGACAGATGAAGAAATAGCTCTCTTAATTCTTGACGAGGAAGAACTTTTAAACGATAAAGGAGTTTTAGGGTACGGATTTTAAAAAATTTTAACTTAATGTTCTTGTTCTTCAATTTATTTGATTTAATAGAATATCTATTCAATTTTTAAAATTTCATTAACAACATATTGATAAAACTAGCTAATTTAGACAATCCAAATTTATTTTATTTGAATTTAAAATTTCTTTGAATATATAATTCATCAGATATCACAGATATAATTTTATGTTATATTTAATTTCTTTATTTTTTATGTTTTACGTACTTCAACACAATAAGGTTTCTTCGCAAACAATTCATGCATATACTATTTATTAATATTTCAAATATTTTGTTTCATTAAATAATTAATTTCTATTTGATAATTAAATTTCTATAAAAATTTTTATTTTATATCTATATATTGTCTATATTATTAAATAAAAACAATAATATATACACATACAATAATACAGCTATAATAATAAATATTTAATATATAAATTAATTTGAATATCTTTAAAAACTATAAATATTGTTTATATAATTAAAATTGCAAATAATATTTAGATAAGCTAATTATTCAGATTTTTAGAGAATGGTGTATAGTATACATTATAGGATAAATTCAAAGTTTTAATTTATTTAAATACATTGAGTTTATTACGTTTATTTTTAACGTTTCTCTCACAATACACATAAAAAAATATAATCATGATGATGATGGTTGATGATTATTATTATTATTATTATTTTCATTACAGCTATCAAATTAAAAGCTCATCGATAACTTGGGAATTTCCGATTTATTTCTGATCCTTTTTGTTTAATTTTATTATTTAAAAATATTTTCATTTTTTATTATTATTGGTATTATATTATGTTGTGTAACATCTAATTTTTAATAGTACTTTAATGAATCACAAAAACATATCTAGCATCGTTAGAAAATTATTTTGGTAATAAAATAGTTGAATATTTTAACGCGATCATAAGCTTTATTTATATCGGACGCAGAAGATATACAATAACATTCTATTATAATCAACCTATTATATCGAATATTTATATTTAAATACCAAATTTTTAAAATTTATAAAAATAGAAAAGGTAAATAGGAAATGAAAGCAACCATAATATACTGTAATCATTTTGAAAATAAATTTAAATTAATCGTATTGTTCAAGTCTGAGCATAAATTAATGATTCTTTATAATGTAAAATACTCAAATCTCTTCATTTCAACTACATTTCAAATATTACATTATTAATTTTATCTGTCTTAAAATTTGAAGTATACTTTTATGTTTAAATTTATTGTTATAAATCTATTGAAATACTCAAGAAACAGAAAGTAATAAGTACAATAAGTAGAATTTAAATTTAGTAAAAACAATAATTATACTTTAAACACAGTAATCAGTTATTAGAAATTAAAATTTTTTAAAATACTTTCACGTGCTTATAAATTTAAAGAAAGATATTTATAGTTCAATTTAAATTGTAGACGACAATATGAATATTTATTCAAAAACATTTTTAAATACTGAAACTATGAATTAGTTTAAAAAATTCATTAGTAATTTTACTTATATCGTTAAAATATACTTTCATGCTTTGTATATATTTATACAAGCACTCATCTATAAATTAAAAGATGAATTATTCATATAAAGTAATTTAAAATATATTTATAAATTGAAACGGATGAAAATTCTTCTTAAATATTATAATGTAACTAATATTTATTACACCATTTTTTTTCAAATTATCTTTAAAATATTTTTCAGTAATATAACGCCTCGTATCATTTATTTAAAATAAAAAAGCATCTCGAATATGTTTGTATTATTCGTTTAAATTATAAACATTGTATTAAGTAGTTTTCATATGCTTTGACAAAATGTTTTGGGCAAAATTTAAATTACATAGATGTAAAATATTGTAAAAAGAATGGAGCGATTTCGTATGGTTATGTTATATCCAAGCAAGCCTTGACTTGCATCGCTAGCCATTTTTAATTTTCATCATTCAAGTTACTTGATGTCTTTGTCCTTACCTTTCAGCGTGAACTTCAGAAAGCTACGGCCCCGTGCGCCTCTTATTAAACAATCCAAAGTTTTCCAAGAACTGCAGCAGCAAGTGAACTCCGAACCGGAGCGCATCCAGGAGCAGAAGCATCGCTCGACGTTCTTACAGAAGCCAGAACGACCTGTACCGCAATCGCGTGCCGAGCCCCTAGGTCCTCATCCCGAGATCCCGGCATCCGAACCTTATCGGGTTCTCATTCAGAAGCAGCCGCGTAGGCCCGTAAGCGAACGTCTTGCTCGGCGTGATCCTTCCAAGCAGCCGTGTCCACCCAGGAGTCCGGAGACCAGCCCAACCCCCGAGGTAACCGTTCAATCCCCGAGTCCCGGGCCCATGCA